ATACTCTCTCTCTTGACAAACAACATTAAAGATTACTTTTGGACTACGGATAGGCCATTTAAAAATGAGTTTGACTTCATTATTATTGGCTCTAATTATGAAGGTTCACTTGATTATCATGCACATGCAAGCATCCTATTGAAGTTAGATTCTTCGGGCATGTTTTTTTAGAGTATGACTTGAATGTAGTTTTTGAGTTGAATTTGAGTTATAACTTGAGTTGAAGTTGTAACTTGAATAAAGTTAAATAAAGTTGAATAAAGTTGGAACTTAAAAGAACGTGAATTTAAATAAAGTTATAACTTGAATATAAACTTTTTTTGAGTTTTATTACAAAAGAATAACCCCTTCATTTGGACCTAGTTGTCTCGTTCTTCTTGCTAATTTCCCCACCCCTTCTTCTTCACTTCACGAGAAAATCGAAATCCCCACTGTAGACAAGGCAAGTTTACATACCAGAATGAAATACCAAAATTAATTGGAAAAAACTTGAAAGGACACGTTTTTGGAAGGTGATAACACCACGTTAAGAGGACGTTTAGTTTATGGATTTAAAATTATGATTTAAAATTATTTTTGTTTTACGTGTATTTTTTATGAGAAAAAATATTATAACAAACTACAAACCATAATTCAAATCATGACCCGAATCCTCATTCTAAATGTCCCATAACTTATCAAACCACATTCACGTTTTTTCTCATTTGGAAAAAAAAAAAAAAACCTATTGATTCATCTGTTTTTCTTAATTCCAAACCCTAATTTAGCAAAATTATCTCAAATCAAATTTTAAAATCCAAATTAGAAAGTCTATTCCTTCCCTTCTCTTGTCTCTCCTGCTCGCTAGAATCTTGAACTGGTGGTTTGGACTTAGCGACGAAGGGTTGCAAGCTCTGGTATGGCTTTCGCCAGCGACATGGGGTGGTGGATTCTGCGACAACGAGTGCGATTTGAGAGATTGAACGGTAGTGCTACAAATTTCTTAGGGTGGATGATTGGAAAGTGGTTATTTCGATAGTGAGGTCCATTGATCAAAGTTTTTTTCTTTTTTTCTTTTTCCTAGCTCTGATTCACACCGAGAACTTATCCAGATTGTAAAATACCCATGGCCATGAGAAATCTATTTCAGAGGCATTCAGATCTATCTTCGACAGTCCTACAAATTTATTTTGATGGTTTTATTATGTAGACTCCAAACTGAGTAAACAACGAAATATACCCATGAGAAATCAAAGAAGATAAAAATATGACACATTCTCACTTGTATGCTTTAAATTAATTTTTGGATCACAATGGAGATCGATAGTAGGAGGAAGATATTGAAAGTTTGTGAGTGGGTATGGTCAATTTGGGAGAACGCAGGATAATAAGGAAGGGATTTGAGGAGAGAAGAAGAGTAAGAGGTTGTTTAGTTGGGGGATTTATTTTTTGATTTGAATTATGTTTTGTGATTCGTTATAATATTTTTTCTCATAAAATACAGATCACAAGTTAAATTTTTATTAAAAATAGAAATTTGGATGATAAAACCCTTAAAAAGATTGTACAGAAAATGCTTAGACTTTTCCGTTGAATGATTTTGATCAATCGGGAATTAAAAAAAGAACATACCGGGTCCAAAAAGGTACAGTACCGGAGAAGGATTCTAAAAATATTGTCCCGTTCATTTCATTTATTCGAGTTTAGAATTTAAATTTTATTATAATAAAATTTTTTTA